AACATACGTTTAGTTTTCAAAACTCATTTATCTTTGTTTTTATAATTTGTGAAATTTTATTTTTTATGCTTCACAATTTCTTATAGTATGGTCATGAAAATAAAATTTTAATCAAACTAATTTTTGTTAATTTATAAATCTATATTTTATATGTAATTAGTAAGTAGAGTTCAATTGAAGTCTACTCGTATGGTATTTATAACCTAATATATCTTTGTTACTTTAATTTATGAAATTTTGGGAAATTTTAATTTTTATACTTCAGAATTATTTATACTTTGGTCATGAATACATATGTTCAATCAAACTATTTTTTGTTAATTTATAAATTTAAATTTCATATATAATTAGTAAGTAGATTTGCATTGAAATCTACAAAATATCTAAAGTTGACTTCAATTGAAGTCTACTAATAGAGTAGACTTCTTTATAACAGAGTAGATTTCTCGGAAGGTGAAAAGGTAATTGTGGCATCCGTTTTTTTCTTTGGTCATAAGGGGTGTAGTTGTAATTTCACTATCTTTTTGGGTTACGTTTGTCAAACATGAGATAAAGGGTCTACTTTTGCATTTAAAATAAAATTGTAGGTTATTTTTAGATTTCCCAAAAAAATTTTGATCCTTAAAACTTCTTAAACCCTCAAAATAATTTTGAAGAAATGGCATTTTTATAAATATTATAAAAATATGATATTTTTATAAAGTGACACTTGAAAGATTGCATTTTTTGAAATTTCTAAAAAAGTATAGACATCTCGTTCCTTCCTAACACATGTTGTCATACCCAAGCTCCCTACCTTTAGACGCAAGAATCCTCTTGCTTTTCACCCAACCGAGCCAATTTTCGATTCCAAATGAGAACCATCTTGGTATATATGCGAGTATTCTTATACGGCAAGAACTACAAAAGTAACAACATCGTCTTTTCAGAAAACCCAATATGAGCTCAAGTTTCCTTCATATTCGTATTGTTCATATAAGTACCACCAAGTAAGCACCAGAATAATTGAATAAGTCACTGAACCAATTAACTACTGAAATCATGGTAAAAGAAATTTGTCCTCCCCAGTCTTCTTTGGTGGACCATATTATAGTTAATTCAAATCAATAGTTGAGCCATTCAATTAAGAGG